AAAATATTTAACTCTTAAATGTTTTTTCTTAAATATTCTTAATCAAATCATTTCTCAGTACATAAGAACATTTTTAAATGCAATAATTTGACATTGTTTGTGGGAATATAACATTACTGATCTGCAGAATATGCAACAATTCAACGAGTGCAGGGATTAGAACATCTCTATATGAAAGCTTCTGACCGACCAATTTTTCACTTGAAATGCTTACAGTGAATATAATCTCTAACCACAAAAACATTGTCTAGTCATTCAACAAAAAACTGGGTAGGATGCTAGGAACCTCCTCGGCAATGGTTCTCAGTTTACCTCTTGCCTATCAAGAAATCAATCAATTGACCAAAGACCATTGAATGACTTAGAACTTTCGAAAGATTCATCAACTATCTTCCGCAGCAACAGCTAAAATCAAGTTCGTAGCCCTATGCTTCACAATAGTGACCCCGTAACCTACTTCAAACTATTTGTAGAAGAACACAAAGGCAACACCTCCTTGATACTATATTTGCACATGCGTGTGAAATATTTCATCAAATTCCATTTTAGAAGTAAATCAATTGGTTTCATGTGCATCCTCTTATTGAGGAACTCTACTTTCAATAGAATGAAAAAATATTCAAAATGTATAGTTTGAGTCTTATAAAAATGGATTGCTAGAATTCAAAATGGATCAATGCAATTGTCTCACAAAAACCTTTGAAAATCAAGTAACGATTGATATAGGATGCCAGTATTTTTAGTCTACCTGCAAACATCGCAAAGAGCTCGCCAAAACTTCTACCAAAAAGAATATCAACCAAGGCAATATTTTAGAAGTTAGAACTGATGGTCCGGGACTGCACTGGCAATGAGCAAGTCTGAATTGCACATGCCATTTATGTGAAAAATCCTTAAATTTTGCCATGAAATTGTATGGTAGGCAAATGACTAATTGAAAAGTAGGACATATATTTCACCCCAAACAAAAAATTTCTACTCAAACAGACAAGAATTGTGGCAGAGACAATAAAACAATGACATGCAAGCATCAATCTTCGCCTACCAAAAGCAAAACACAATCTCCAAACAACATGGAGCGATGTACATCTTCAAGAAGCTCCTAAATTGTCCATAACAGACTAGAGATGACTGACAAACCTCCCTCCACTTATAAGGAATACATAATTTGCACAACATTAATGACATGGCATTTACCAACACCAACATATTTTGACTATCAAGGTGAAACTCCAACCTACATCAATTGCAAATACAAAATTACAATGATGGCATTATTTCATGTTGTTACAACATTGAATGCTTCAAATTAAACAAACATGGAATGGCTCTAACATACTACATAATTAACCTCGGGATGACATGAGAAGTCCGACTACTCAATTGGCTTCGTGGCCTAGTCCTAAGTCAGCTTCATCGTTCTGCACCTCTTCATATATTTTCATTGCCCAATACATAAGAAAATTTTAACAACTATACTACTTGAATGATTTCATCAATTACTTTTTAGGCAACATGGATGCATGCAAGATTAGACTAGAGCTTGAGTATGTGAGGCCTGCGAGAGTGGTAAAGGATTTGGTTTGAAGATGTATGGTTTTCAAATAGATTGCTAGTGGAAAATTAGTGGTTGATAGAAATAAAAAAATAAATTTCAAGATATTTGTATAAGGGGGAAAATAAAACTCTGTAAATATAATTTAGAGTGATTTGCATACAAAAATTGGATCTAGAAAGCACAAAATTGACCCTACATAACTTCAGCCATTTAAATGGTAATCATAAACTCCTATTTATAGAAATAAAATTACATGAACAAGTCTGAATTTTAGATTTAATATCTAATCATATTTTAAAACTAATCAAATTCTACCAGATAAATGAAATTCAGCTTTGAAACTAGCCAAAAAGAATATAATTGAGCCTAATAAAATAAATCAATTTTAAAATAAGAGAAATTTGTTCATAAAAGATATTAACCTATAAATGCATGAAAATTGGTAGGGTTTAACCTATGATGCACAGACACGGACATGACGACATGGATACGACACGACATGGACACGGGACACATCAATTATTGAAAATATAGGACACGGTATTATAGTTTTTATATTTTAAAAATAGTGTATAAAAATAGAATAAGTATAAATTTAAAAATAATAAATTATTTAATTAGAATTTGTGCTTAAAATCATTAATATTATGATGTCGAGAGTCAGACATTGATATCGTTTATCAGTCATCGAGAGAGGAGATGACAATGTTGTCGAGAGCCGGGCATTGATGTTATGCAATAAATATTAGTCGTCAATGTTAGGAGGGTGTTCATCACCGATACTGAGAGAGCATTGGTTGTCGATGTTGAGAAGGCGTTGGACAAAGATGAGATGTAAGTTGTGGGTGTAGAAACTACTAGCATCGAGCATTAATGTAAAGACGACATTAGACTTTGATATGAATATCGTTTTGAAATGTTGATGTTGTAACGACATTAGACATCGATGTTGATATGACATCGGGCATTGTTGTGAAATCAAAGTTGCCAAAAAGAAATAAAAAATGAGAATATTCGATGATAATGGGGTATTAAGTGGGGGCGATTGATTTGGCGTTGTGGATAGGAAATAATAAATTTAATTTTTTATATTTTAAATAAGTAAAAAATTTAAATACAAGAAATTATGCTTAAAAAAGTGATAAAATATTTAAGATACGAGTGTCCGACATGCGTGTCCAATTTGTACTTAATGTTTTTTTAATCGAACACATTTTGGCGTGTCCGACATGTGTCAGAGGAGTGTCGGACGCGTATCGTGTCGGACACTGCACGCCTCTTTGAGGAGAAGTATTGGTGTATTAACTCCTTTATAACCTAATTTTACTCATAATAATTAGCCTATAAAAAATTGTAGTCCACCCTAAAAAGTTCAACCAATTTCCTCTTTTTTTAATGAGAGATTGACTTTCCTAGTCTATCATATCAACATGAAGTTACTTGTTTTATGAGTAACTGATATAAGTGCAATATTAACCAAATAAAAGACACTAGGCATACCTTGTTAAGAAATTAATATAGCACAGACTAATTTGATGCTTGTTTACATGTATGCTTATAATTTTACACACATGAAGGAAAATTAAACGCAAATAAATTATTAGATGCATAGAAAGAAACAATATTCAAGAAAATAAAACAAAAACAACATTAAATTCCTAAGATACGGCCTATCATTCTATGAGTCAAATATTAACATTAGTTATGCGACGCAATTGTTCTAAAGAGCAATGCCAAACACATTATTTATTGATCAAAAAGGTGAATAGATATTTCACTGACTGATATGCTCAAGGTACTTAGAGAAATCCTCAGTTACAACTTAAAAGCATGTTCAAAATCCAAACACAAGTACATAGGGGTGTAACAATTCAAAGCCAACTTGTGGACAACTCAGACATGGCTCGATCAAAATGGTTTGTGTGCTGAATTCAATGAGCTAATGAGTAAAGCTTGAATCAACCCCAACTTAACCCATAATTAGTAAGTCAACTCAATTTATAAAAATTAATATCAAATATAGTTAAAAAATATTAAATTTAATAAATTAAGTACAAATTACTTAAAAACTTAGTTATCTATCTTCTCTAAACTGTTTTCTCATTATCTATACTCCAAATTCTAATTTGTTTGCAATTTCAATGTCAAAACTCAAATCAGTAGCATCTCTCTTACATAATAAATAAGTTGGCTCATAAGAAACTCATAAAATTGAGCTCAAACTCAACCAATTAATTAAGCTCAAGCTCAACTCGACTAATCACACCTTCACACGCACATCAAGATTAAGATACTTGGGCATGCTTATTAAAAAGAGTTCAAGTTAACAAGACTAGAGCAAAAAAAAAAGTTTTAATAAAATAGTAAGGACTAATAAGCATGCCCAAACTCTTTGAGTATTTTTCTTATAAATTGTCCACCATTAATCAGTGTTAAGTCATGCATGATGTTAAAATGTTAAATACAATTTGCTAGTATTCTTTGTACAGCTTCAAGCCATATTACTCTTGTGCTGTTCATTTTTTTTAATATTTTTATGTTAAATCTATATGCATGCCTTACATTATTATATTCATATTATTTTATAATATTTTATAATTACAGCAAAAAAAATTATAAGTCATAATCATATTATCTTTACATTATTATATTCAAAAAAATTAGTTAGACCCACATCCAAGCCTTCATAATTGAAACCCCCTTCTTACAAAATTGGAGCTCCTTTTCATCAACTTTCTACCACACATTGTTAAACTCGGTTTCAAAAATGAACTTCAAACACTTATAATCACTTTGATTAAAATAAACTAGCCCTACTACTTGCTACAACATGGTTCATCATACAAATAATTAATAAATTCAACTCATCTGAGACAAACACCTCTTTCTCCTTAATTTTCATGAAATCAATTTTCACATGGTTCAAGATCATGTGCCCTTTAAGATCAATTAGATCATCTAAAAATAATTTATCGCCCTCAATAAATCTAACTAATTATGTTATCACAAAATTTATAGCATGGTCTATTTTTTTATCACAAAGTTAACACTAGTACACAAATTTACTTGAAACTATTCTAACAATAAACAACTACTAAAACGAAGTAACTCCAAGAAAGATACCTTGCATTTTGAAAAATTAAGTAGCCAACAAATGAAAGCATATAAAATCATGCAAACAACCAACTCAAAGAAAACCTCTAGATACAAGATGGACATATAACAATATGAGAATAAACTTTTGTTCAAAGTACTATAAAGGAAGCAGTAAATTCTAGTTTGTCACAAGAAAACAGTTTTTCACAATTTCTGAAAATATTTAAATTGTAGAACGACAAAAAAAAACTAAGAATTCATATCAGCTAAAGATGCATATTTAATATAAGCCTTTTCTCTGTTGGCAAATGCATAAATCTAACTAATGTGAGAACTTGATACTAACCTAGTGAATCAGAGGAAGCTGCCATTTCCAGAAAAAAAAACACTAGCATGTCCTGTCATCAAAAAGGTTGATCTCCAAAACTTCTAGTCCAAAACAATTTCTGTATTGCTGATAAATCCAAGTTAGGCGCCCATTAACAGCTAAGATAAATGATTCTGAACCGAGCTACATTCCAGAATCATCATCGAAAGTTAGCCGAAAACAGCTGATGAAGCTGCATTGCTTAGCAAAACCCAATGAATGTTGAAAAAAGCTATAGGAATCAATGGAGTAGGTTAATAAATGGAGTAAGGAACTTCAGCGTTAAGAGACCAGCTATTGCTCAGCATCATTTATAAGTTCTTCACACTTTGCTTCAGAGGATGCCTGAAGAAGTTCTAGAGGAGTTGCAGCTGGATCGAGCTCAAGGCAACCTTTCGGAGCATTATCAGCTTCTTCACCTGTGAGAACATAAGAAGGAACCTGATGTGAGAACCTAAACATCTCTTGCTTCGGTATCATCTTCACCTCTTTTGGGTCAAAATGCCGTTTAAAAACTGTTTTGAATCCAGCAACCTTCACTAAGGAAACAACTGAGATTCCCTGATCCTCATTATAATCCCCAAGTACCTCAACCATGTCATATTTGTGGATCACATCATCTGAAGTATGCTCATTCCAGTGAGGAGTCCAGTTTCTGTACAAGGCCCAAGTGTCACCTTTTCTAGGAAGAATTCTAATTACTCCACGAGAACCTTTCTCCCATTTAACCTTATGTGAAAATATATTGATTGAATCAACGGCTTCATATCTTGCAACTCTAAACTCTCCAGAGGTTTTAGTAAAACCACTGCTAACCCAATCCAAGTCAGCAAATTCAGCATTAGACTTCGATGTGAGAAAACTCATGCGAACCTTGAAAGGATTTGTGGATAAAACTTTCTGAATCAAGGCATAATATCGAGGCATACCATCATCCTCATCATAGGTAGCCCATATCTGATCACCTCCAAAGGCTTCTTCTGTGCGATCATTGTCGAAATCATGAAAATCTGGATCAGGGACATCAATTGACACAGGAAGATCAAGATCTTTATCTGAATCATCATCAACATTATCTTGTTGAACCTCCTTCTGAGCAACTTCCTTATTACTCCTGGAGTCAAGTACTTTTTTATCTGCATATCTACTTTGAACTGTGTCCTTCAAAAGATCATCAACTTCCTTCAACTCTTTGATATCCTCTTTAGATTTTTGCTTATTCTTTGACCTACCCTTGGCAGCTTCAGCTGAATTCAATTCACTTAGTTTCTTCAATATTCCAAGCTTAGCCTTTTCCACTAGTATAGGTCTAACATCTAAATGCGTATATTCCCTGTTAAATGTTGCCTGCCTCGAGCTTAGCCTGGACTTCAAAGAATCTCCCGTAACCTTATCCCCTTCAGAAAGAGCATTTCTAGTTGTACCAACAGAATGATTCATCTGATTTCCAGAACAATTACTCCCAGCATCATCGCTAATGTCTCTTCTTCTATTCACATTTACATCAGCACCAGTTCCAGTATTAAGATTTGCAGAAGCACTGGTATTCCTTCTTGGAGCATCATACCTCTTCCGAAGAAACTCTTCCCTTCTAGATGCTGCCTGTGCTTCTTCCCGCTGCCTTTTAGCTTTCTCATATGCTTGCTGAACCACATTTGCAGCCTGTGCAACAGTAGAAGAAGAGCCATCAGCACCAGCTGTTGCAGAAAGTCCAGAGAATGGACTCCACTGGAAATTTGTAGCAGAAGATGAGTCAGCACTTACTCCATGCTGAAACCCTGCGGATCCCATTCCTGTGGGAGCAGAGGCATTCTTATTGGTATTGTTATTCATGTTACCTAGGTTGTACTGCTTTGATGACCACTTAGGTGGACGGAGTCCACTAGGAGGGATAGGCAATTCTGTGGCTAGAAATGGCTGTTTGCATTTAGGACATAGAAGGCTTTTGTTGAGATACATTCTGTGGTACTCATATTGCATGCAACATCCAGCACATGAAGTCCAGAATGTCGTCATCTGCGAATGAGTTGGAGGTGATGGAGTAGTTGGGGCCCTCTGAGTATAGCTCTTCTGAGCTGTCACTTTTGCTGCAGCACAGTTAGCAAACTGGTAAAAACCATTACTAGCAGGCTTAGCAGCAGATGTAGTTTTGCTTGGCTGTGAGACCTTTTGCTGAAGCCCTTTTGCATATATCCTCTGGTCATACAACATTTTCTTACTCCTATCAGACAGCACATTCCAGGCCTCAGAAACAAGCTGAAAAGCACCTTCTGCGCCAGTAAATTTGTTCTTATCTGGATGCAGCAGAAGAGCTAGTTTCCTGTACTGCTTTTTCACCGTCTCTTCATCTGCTGAAGCATTAACCTGAAGGATTGCATATAAATCCTTCTCTCCATTTATTTTAGCTTCTGATGCAAGATAAACATCCAAAGTTGTTAACATTTGACTAATTCCTTCTAGAGATGGAAAAAGATTCTGGGCCTTTAACGCAATTTTCTTAGCACCCAAATAGTCTTTTTCAGAAGCCTTTCTTTCAGCGATCTCTTTCGCCCTAAGCGCCTCGTCCCTGTTACATTCCATTTCCTAAACTGAAACACAAAACCAAAACCGAAAATTCACATTCAGGACTTCAAATCAGTGATCTAGTGGAATTATTGGGATTATTAGGATTCCTAACTCCTGGTAAGATGACAAAAAGAGAGATAGAGAGGGGTGGTGAGGATTGAGATGACAAACTGGAAAAAGAACACTTTAGCACAAACAATGATTAAACTCTGATAGCATGATAGAAAGAAGAAGCATACTTAGTTTGAATAATGACATTAACAGCACACTAGCTTAAAAATGGCCGCATTGCATAGATTAGAAGGACAACAGTTACCATCGCACAAAACCAGAAAAACCTAACTGCCCTGTCCTATAGCAAAATGCTCCCTCATAAGCATGCGAAGCAACAGAATGCGCGGCGAGGAAAGTTCTCGTAGGAGCAATTCATAACACGCGACAAAAAAAACGCAAAACCATGAAAGTGCTAAAGGAGCGGCACGCAGAAAAATGAAAATAAAGCAAGTTGAAGGAGATCGAACAAGCTATTGTTGGCCTGGAAAACCCACTTTCAGGCTTGAAAAAGGCGAAACCCTAGGTGCTCGATCTCCCAGCCACAGTTTATGTGAAAATATATTCGTTGGAAAGCTCTACGAAAACAGAAAAGAAAGCATAACTACCTGTATGCGGAGAATCGACGCTCAATTTCGGATGGTAGACCGTCATCTGAATGCCTTCATCTCCATTTTTTGTTTTCCCACCAAAGCTGGTAAAAAAAACAAGAAAAGGTTAAAAGGAATTTTTGCCAAAAGACCTCAAGCCCTAGACTAAACTAAAACTGACGAAACCCGAAAAAAAATACCTGTGAGGAAAGACAAACAGGACAAGCGCATGAGGATCTCTCTCTCCCGCTTTATCATATTAGATTTTTGCAAACCCTAACTTAACTAGAGTTCAAAAAAATAACTGAGGTTAAGAGTAACCATAGTTAAGACTTCTCCTTTTCTAAATTTGGAAAATTTTATCAAAAAAGTAAGGATTTAGAGTAAAAGAATATTAATACATTACTTATATTCTAGATGTGTTATTTTATATCTTCACATAAAAATTAACTCATGTGGGCCCATAAAAATAGGATTTTAAAAACTATTATATAACTAATTTCAAAATTAATTTGGAGTAAATATAGAAAAAAATTTGATAGTTTAAAATAATAATGCATAAAAATATTTTTATAAGATTGAAACTTTAAATAAATTAAAATGGTTAATAAAAATCAAATGATTACAGCCGATTATCATAAATCAAATCAAGTGAAAGTATATTTAAATCAAATCATTTTTCAAGTCTTTTTAAACTTATGTATATTTATAATCAATTTTTTAATTATAATTGTTAATTATTATCATTGCTTGAATGGTAATAACTTTAAATGTGAACTTTGTTGTATTTGATATGATCAAATTGAATTAAAATATTTAGCCTTATCCTTTAAAGCATATTACTTTGATTAAATGATCCATGATGAACATTTGAAATTATTTTTCATTAAACATGGTCTATTAAGTACTCTCTTGATTCAAGTTGTGAAGATGATTGCTTCATACCATGTGAGTGGAACTTTTTTCTTTCCACCCTCAATTTGGAACAAGTTGTCTTGGAAGTTGCTTTTAGATTTACATTAATCCTTATTTCATAATTGTCAAGTGCGACAACTCCATACTAGTGCAACTCAAATCATGCATCGTGCTTGCTCACACAAACCCAATTTTCATTCTAGAAGACTCACAAACGAATGTAATCCTAATCTTAAACATTTGTGTCATTAAACCCACTCTCACCACCCACTATTCATAGCTTCGCTATTTACACCCATGCATGCATATGGGCTTCTGTATAGCTTGGGTGAATTAGACATCCTTTCTCATTTCTAAGTTTTATATGGTTTCTATCCATATAGGATGTTATAACGATAATATTTTATGTGATGTTCTCCCTGTGAGTATCATATGTATTATATCTAATCGTCTTTGATTTTTTTTTTCATAAATCATATCTATTACGAGCAAGAAAACACTTTTACTTTTAATGCAATGGGCTCCTCTATTCAATGAGAGGTTATTCTGTGCAGACACCGGACGGGAAAATCGTCCGATTTGGCCTCTATGAATAGTAAAGCACATTATTCATTGAGACAAACCGGATGATTCTCCCAGCCCAGTGTCCACACAAAATAATTCATCCTATTCAATAGGATATCTTTACAAAAGTCATAGGCTTTGCATTCCAATTCATCTCTTCATGACCAAAATGCTTGGGAAATACACCTTAGTTTTCAATTGGCTTTCTTCTTTAAATTGATAATTTAAAAAGTCTATGAAAAAAGGATATATGAAATGGGGCACCTCCTTCACATGATACATATTAACTCGCCATTGGGGAGTTCATTGTTACATCAAGAAAGCCTACTGTCAATGCAAGCTTTCAAACCGACCAAATTGATCCACAAAAGCCAATTTCAAGAAGACAATCAGACCCAAAAAAACCCACTTCTCACCCAAATAGTCAGTACTGTTGTTTGAAGGTAGAGGGATTAAAGTCACCGCCCAAAGAGGAAGAGCTAGAGTCCTCGTAGGGACGATGAGCAAGACGCAGCCATATCCGATAACTTTCTTGAATGGGCCGACAAACGGAACCGACCAGAGAGGGAGAGCTCCGGCGAGAAATCCGACGCTGCCGCCGAGATCATTGGCGATGCCTACGGTTGCGATTTATCGCCGGTTGTAGCCCATATAAGCCTTAATGATCACAGGCAGTACCCATATTGCGCCACGAAGACGAGCCATTGGTTGTCGAAGAAAGAAGATCAGCGAAATTTAAAGGAGGTTCATTTTCAGCTCGGCCAGAAGTGTGCGCTGAAAAGTTGCGATCTTTGAGCTTTTTTTGGTATTAAACCAGACGGTGAGACCAGGCGAAGAAGACGGTGAGTGGAAGAACTCAAAGGCTGCAGCTATCTTTGCCGATATAACGATATTTCATATTTGAACTACTTAGCTTTTAAAAAGAAATAAAAATAAATGTCATCATAATTAATTATTTATTTATTTGACAAAGATGTCACACGGATACATGATGTTGATACCCTTTGCTTTGCATTATTATTATCGTTGTTGTTATGTTCTCTCATTCACCTTTAATATTTTTATGCGCCCTATGAATAATTTTCTTATTTACCTAATAAAATTCCGGCGTCTTGTCTTGAATTTAAGAGGAGTTTGAGCTATTATAAATGGTATCAGAGTAATATACTAGCCGACGAAAAATGAGAACTCTATCTGAGTCAGTTATTAAAGTGGTAGAAATTGTGAAACCCCTTAAGAAAATAAAACTTAAGTGTTTATATATTTTTGTGTAATAGTATTAATTTTATTAAAAGCTCTAAAGTTAGGTGTGTTCGAACAAAATTAGGATGGGTGACATCAGTATGCCTTTTGATGTAATAGTAAGAATTACATTAAAAATTTTAAAGTTAAGTGTGTTCCCGCACTCTTGGGATGTGTGACCACCAAGAAAATTACATCAATGAGATAAAATTGTGAAACTATTAGGCTAAAGCGGACAACATCTCAATAGTTGAGTTTTGACGATTACAAATAGAATCATAGCAAAATAGAACAATTGAAAGATGGAGATTATGGGTGCCAAAATGTGTGAGCGAGTCAGGTTCAAATTCAACTCGAAATTGACAAAATCCAAATTCGGCAGATCAAAACTTGACATGTGTAATAAACGGGTCAAAAAAATAGACCCATTTATAATGGTTTTTTATAAACCAGATTTATAATAATCAACTACAATTGCTTGATTTTAAAGAACCATTTTAATTTATTTAAAGATTCAAACTTACAAAAATATTTTTATGCATTATTATTTAATCTAATATATTAATTAATCTATCAAAATTTTTTTCTCTATTTCCTCCAAATTAATTTTGAAATAAGTTATATAATAATTTTTAAAATTCTATTTTTATGGACCCACATGAGTTATCTTTTATGTGAAGATATAAAATAATACATTTAGAATATAAGTAATGCATTAATATTATTTTATTCTAAATCCTTACTTTTTTTGATAAAATTTTCCAATTTTAGAAAAGGAAAAGTCTTAGCTATGGTTACTAATGGATGGGTGACCTCCTAAAAAATTACACCAACAAGATAAAATGGAGATGTCTTTAGGTCAAAGCGGATAATATCACAATTGTTAAGAATTTGAGTTGTTACAAATTATATCAAAATATTTGGAAAAAATCGAGAAAGAAAAAAATCCCGAGTTTTATGTCAGTTAAAATAACATTTTTAGTATGGCTTGTATGTTACAAAGATTATACTTCCTCATAATTAAATAATAAATTAATAAAATGTAGGAGAAATGAACCATCGAATATGACATTTATGATCGAAGAACGAGAAACTTTGAAGTGTCATAGTTGTCATCAACAGATGCTTGAAGGCCTATTCGCTCATTCTCATTAGAGAATGATAGATCGAAGATTAGGACAGTCACTAACCTTACAGTGACAACAAGCGTCTGTGTCATGGCGACGACAGATGGCAACCTTGTTGGCGATGTCAAGCATTGGAATTGTTGTTGAGGGTGGGTGTTAGCGCTAATGGCAATGATGGACGTCAATATTAGTACCATCAATAAGTGTTGGCCTAGATAAAATATGCTCAATCAAATATTTTTTTTGATAACATGCCACTACTTAAAAAACGCCTAAAAACTTAAAATAAAAATTAAAAAAAACTTATTCAATCCCATATATGCTATGGGATTCCAGTGGTTTGTATTTATGATCATATTATTTTGTTGGGAGTAGGGCTGCAAGCGAACCAAACGTTTGACGAGCTACTCGTTGCTCGATTCGATTAAAGCTCGTTTGTGATCGTTTAACTAACTAAACAAACAAACTTGAGCAACATTTTAAATACTAGATCCTTAAATAAACAAGCTTGAACACTATTACACTAATGTGTTGGGTTCATTTATGTTCACAAACAACATCATTTGAAGCTCGTGAACAAGTCAACATTAAGCTCGATTCGTGCTCAATTCAGAGCTCGTGAATGAACTCGATAAAAATTTAATTAATATTTAATTGTAAAATTGATAAATATACATAATATAAAATATTTTAAATTTATTATAACATAATGAATTTGTTCATGAACAAGAGACATTACATTTATCCATATTTCCTAAATTATTTGTTTAAGATGTTCATGAACAAATTTAAGGTTTATTTGCTCAATAGAATGTTTGCTAAATATGTTCACGACCATAGCTCGTTAATGTTTGTTTGTTTAAAGCTTGATAAGTACTAAATGAATTGAACATTGCCCAAACATGAACACCGATAAATCAAATGAACTAAACATGAACACAAACAATAAAGCTCGAATCAAACATGAACTGAACTTGAACAAGGTAATAATAAACAAACTCAAATATGCACATTCACATACTCGACTCGTCTCGATTCGTTTGCAGCCTTGCTTGGGAGCATAAGAAAGTGATTACCTTTTCAACGTCCCTAGCGGACCCTATAAGCAATGGCTAGCAATGAACAGACGGTGGAGCAACAACCACACAATGACATAATGAAATTGATGAAACTCATTTTGATTTGTTGATTGGGAGTTTTAACTTCCAATCAAGAGTACTTGGGTTCGAGTCTCGTATATGTGATGTGTGTATGAGTTTATCTAAATTAACCGAAATGTTTCAAAAAAAAAAAAAACATGATAAACATGTGGCTCAAGTCATCAATTTATTTTTCAAGAAATTTAAATTTAACACATGCTAAATAATATCTTATGGATTGAGATATTTTTATTTGATAACCTTAAAATGGTAAATTTACAATATAATTTTGTTTAAGTAGCACGTTTAATTTAGCTATATTCAAATAAATAAATAAAGAGGGCATTAATTTTGTATTATATGTATTCAAAATAAATTTAATGAATATAATATCACGTTGATCTTAACTCCAAATTCTTCTTCTTTTGATAAAAAGAAATCTATGTCGTACTGTAGCAGCATTAACTTTTGAAAATAATTTGCTGAGCAACTCATTTATGATTTAAAAATGTCACATTATCAAAGCAACTGAAAGCCTGAAATAGATTTTTCAAATCTTAAAAAAAAAATTTTTTGAGGCATTGCAATAATTTTGTTTTATTTATTTAATTTAAAATTCAAATAATTCTAGATTAAGACATAAATAATTACAAACTTGATTGTCACAATAGTTAATATCATAGCGTTTGTGACCACTTTAAGAAACCATATGTAAGAACACAAAGTGATTAGTAAAAAACTAATTACTACAAAAACAATATATTTTATTTTAATATTTTGTTTTTTTAAAGAACTAATTAAATTTCAATCTAAGAATTCATTCGGGATAACATTTTTATTTCTTCTTAACGCAATTTTTTAGTACAAAATTTTTATATTTTAACTTAAAAAGCTGATTTAAGAAGCAAAAATAAAGCTAAATCAATGCATAAGGCTTTGTTTGGGATGACTTTCTTACCACTTCTTAAAGCAATATTCTAATATAAAAATTATATTTTTATACTAAAAAATAACTTTAAGAAATAGTAAAAAAGTCGTCCCAAACGAAGCCTAAATCAAACAGACAACCTAGCAATTATTGGAATAAGCATTAATAGTTACTCAAACTATATAGTCCAGTAGAATATGATTACTGTAAAAGTAAATATAGCAATATCCAGATGTCTGAAAGAGTTCCTCAATCTGGTTATTAATGAAAAAATGTATGTAAGTATTATCAGACATACAATAATAATCAAATAACTTGAACAATGTATCAGAATCTGTAGGGGAAGAAATATGTAAATGCTGCATATTTGACAAATTCCTAGAGCTAAGCAACAGAAAGAAGACCCTGCATACCCAATGGTTCCTCAGGTCAAAGCTATTTTAACTCTATCTGGTATACAATCTAAAAGAAGATCAATCAAAAGAAAAGTAGGCAGAAGCCATGGAGAGCAAACCATTAGTTGTTATCAGCTTTCATTGCCGAGGAGACTTGACCTGCGAAGAACAGAAAAGGAAATAGAATTCAGCAATTTGCTGCAAATCAACCTGTATAGCTTGAAACCGATTGGTCTATTTGGAGAAGCTGCATCTGTTGCATAATATTTAAAGAGATTTCAATCAAGGAGTCTTTAGAATCATTAGCTTTCAATCCAGGCATCTTCAAAAACATTAATCTCCTTATCAAATTCATACACAATCTCCCACATTATATTTGTAACGTCTAAGAATCTAAGTCAAAAGAATTGCACATCTTTTTACTTTTTTTTTTGTTTGTTTGTTTATAAATATCATTCAGAACTCACAAGATTCAGTATAAGCATAAAACATAATTACATTTATATTCATTTAATATTTAGAAGTGATACAAGCCCAAAATGACATATGTACAATTATCATATAATAACAACAACAAGGCTTTATCCCATTGTGTGGGGTTGGCTACATGAATCATTTTTCTTCATTGTATCATGATAAGAGACAAATTCACATAATCACATTTCAATCTAATAAAAATGGTCATTTCAATTATTTTATAACTAAGTCTTTTTAGTTCTATCTCTACCTCTCTTAACATAAGCCAAATTTATTACATCTACTCTCTCATTTCACATCTTATCTCTAAGAGTAAAGCCATTCACCCACCTAAGCATCCTCATCTCTGCAACACTTCACTTAATTTTATGCTTCTCTTTTAATGGCCAACATTCTGTACAATAAATCATTGTAGGCCTCACTACCATCTTATAGAATTTTCCCTTAAGTTTTAAAGAGTCTTTTCTATCACACAACAAGCTTGATGCATTCCTCCACTTCAAACATCCAACTTGAATTCTACTAATAATATCCCTATCTATTTCACCATCACTCTGAACAATAGACCCAAGATATCTAAAACGTGCACTCTTATAGTCTTATTAATGACTTGATCACCCAAAGTCACAATCCCCCACTAGATTTATTATTACTAAAATTGCAATCTCTCTAATCTTATCTTCCACTGGAGCTACTCCATAGATTGCAGAGATGAGGATGCTCAAAAGGATGAGTGTTTTACTCTTAGAGACAAGATGTGAAATGAGCATATACGTGAAAAGGTTGGAGTAGCTCCAGTGGAAAATAAGAATAAAGAGAGTCGCCTTAGATGGTTTGGTCACAAAAAATGTCGGCCTTCCGATGACCCGGTTAGGAAAGTAGATGTATTAGATTTGACTTATGTTAAGAAAGATAGAGGTAGATCTAAAAATATTTGGTTAAAAAATATTAGAAATGACATTTCTTATTAGATTTAGATGAGAATTTGACTCTTAACAAGACATAATTGTTTATGTAGCCGACCCCATATAATGGGATAAAAGCTTGTTGTTGTTGTTGTTGTTGTTGCTGCTGCTTGTTAGATATATCATTTTTAGATTTCCTACAATTGTACTTGATTATTTCGTACTCAGTCATTTCTACTCTTCAGATAAAACAACATATATACAAAACTAACAAGTGAAATTTTCATATAAGTCATTCAAAACATTCAGAATAATGATCTCCAAATTAAAAAAGTTATATGAAGAAAGCTCAATAAAACAAAAGATATTGCATTTTTTTACAAATTCATAAGGGAGAAATGTATTAAACTCGTAATGATTAAAAGCAAAAGTAAAGTATAGGCCACTTATTATGATCGTAATAACTTTCTCAATAGGAACGGTAGACGAAAAAATACCCAAAGAGCTTCCTCTATGTTGTCTGTCTTCTCTCCCCTCTCCCTTCTCTTCTTACTCTCTTTCATTCCCCTACAAGGTAGCAAAATGAGGGCGTATGACTTGGTGTCAAGTGATATTTCTATTTAAATATTTTAAAACTCATTCAGTGTATAACACCACGACGCACAATTTCTAAGCGCCACTACGCTGCATGTCGATCCCAAAAGTATAGAACAGAGCCTTCAACGTCGCGACAAAATTTTTCTGGCACCGCAACTCCCAACCCAGAATTTTGGATTATTACAATACTCCTCTTCAACATTCATATGCAAATTTTTGCTAGGACAATCACTGGAAGCATAACACATTTGGTGAAATTTAAAGTAAGTTTAAGGAAAAAAGTTTAGAACTAGATGCAGTAGCAAAGATGTGTCCTCAATATATAAGCAACACTTTTAATTTGTTATTATTCAAAATCTAATGCAAGTTGAAAAGAATCCTCATGTGAGTGAATGTTTAGCATCATTTCTCCATTATGATCAAGTTTCAGACTAGACATAAACTTGAAAATATATGTTTTACCCCCTTAAAAATGCAGTAACAATTGCCTTCATTCCTTAACAACAAGACGTGTTCTCAATACTATTTATTAAAGTATTTAGCCAGTCTTTGTTCATTATTTTAATGAGTAAAATTCATCAAGTAGATGATTACAATATAATAAAGAGAGGTATTTCTTTTTTATTAGCATTTTCATTTAGCCCAAGTAGTGACATGCTCTTGGACTAATAATTCCTTCTGACTCTTCATGCTCATCAATAATATTTTAGCATTCCAATTTTCAAGTTTCTACCTGTGTCTTTGCCTTCGCTCCTCTACTCTTCCAACACGCCAGTGTGACCGACACTGCTTGAGCTCGACTCAGCTTTCTCTCGCGACTAGACTAATGCCCACGTGCGACCCATATCCTGCACTCTCAATCCCATCTTTGACACTCCACGTGACTTCAGCTCGTTCGAGCCCACTATATCAATCTATATATGGAAGTATGATGGTAATGCAAGTGACATCATCTGCAAGATTATCGATACTCATGAGGCCTCCATGCTCTACAAGGACAGATCAAAGTTTTCCCATAAAGGTGATCTTTCAAGGGAGCTCCGGCGTCGAAATCCTTGTTGTTTTACTAGTAGCGAATCTAAGAAGCCAGGGAAAACATGATGCAGGACTACGTAGGATTTAAATGAATGCGATAAGAACTTGCATGTTTTGAATAAGAGCAATTAATAAGTACGAACGTTAGCCACTAAACGATAATAGAAAATAGAAGAGGGATGGCTTCGCTTAGACCAAATCACACGCTAAGAGTTAGAATCACCAAAGTAATTAGAATTTCAACCGTAGCAAATTAAGTAGTTATTCAATAGAATCCCTATGTTAACAATGAGATTAGAAAACATAAAAAATCAAAACTCAAATCATACGTTTACTAAGCGAAGGCAGAGAGCTTGGCACAACTCCTTGTGCTCGAATCACAACCTACAAGAGCAGAGGATTAGAAGATAATTTGAATAGGGGAAAAAGTTCACCCTCGTCGTGGAACGAAAGTGATTTGCCACTGAACATTAGCAAGCTGCTTTTTTATTGCTTCGGACAAGGTGAAAATGATACACGATCCAAGTATTCTTCAGCGGAATTGTATATTTCCGGGGTGACGTCATAGAATGTTGATCGAAGAATGTCGATGTTTTATTGCTCGTTGTACACAAAGCCGGAGTCAATGTCGGGATCGGTCATACATCGATTTTGTAAGGTTGCAGTGTTGGAGACGAAGGCCTTGGCTTCCCTTAAGTACTCCTCTTGAGAGAAAGAAGTTTCTCTCAATGATTCAAGTGGAGAAGAGGGAGAGAGAGAGGTGTAAAACCCCTCCGAAGCTGATTTTTTTGAGTGCTGTTAGTCCGGACGAACCGACTTTAGTCCCGGACGAACTGAAGAAAATTGTGAAGAATCTGTCAATTTCGTCTGAACGATCCTGTAAGGGTCGGGACGAACCGTCGGGACGAACCGAACAGAGAGCATCGTCCAGGGACGAGAGAGGGAGAGGGTTTGAATTATTTCCAAGAGAGGAGTTAATCATTTGGAAAGAATTCAATGGGAGTTAAAAGGGGGGCCGGCGGCTTCAATGGGGAAGAGGGATTTAGGGAGAGGCATTAAATTGTTGCTTGTTTTGCACTTAGATATTTGGAAATGTGTATTTAAATCCAATTGAATTTAAATTCAAATAGGATTTAATTTTGAAAAGTTTTCAAAAAAAGAATTTCGTAATTTAGGAAACAATTCAAATTCAAATTCAAATTAAAATTTGAATATAAATTAAATAGGTTTCCTATTTTAGGAAGAACAAATTGGAAAGGGTTGAATACAAGCCTTGATGGGGGAATTCCCAATGGGGGCCGACGGCTTAGGTGGATTGGCCGCCGGTTTTGGGTGAGGGGAGAAGGGCGTCGGGTGGGGTGGAGAGCTAGGGGTGCTAGTTGATCCCGGCTCTCGTGCACCACCTACAGACCACCAAGATGCCTAATGTTCGCCAGCTTTCAACCATCCTCCTCCGTAAGAAGATAACCAAACATTGGGGCAAGCTTTCCCCTAACGTCAAGCAATCTATCAAGGTTGCGCTTATCAAAAGCATCACTAAAGGCCCTAGAGACAAAGGTTATTGGTGGAACTGAGAATGAGAATGGATGCATAATAGTGAAAGTGACACATGTGGGATCAGAGATTACTTTATCTCAGATGGTTCAGCTAGTGGAAGCGGCTCAGCTTTCAAAGGCACTTGTCCAGAAACTAGAGAACAAAATTTCCAGAGTCTTTGTTCCCGAAGTTGTTGTGGTGGCTTTGCCTGCTTGGCTTGGCTGGTTCATTCGTGGAGCAGCCCATCAGTATCCAAGGACTTGGATTCCAAGTGGCATGGATGAGTTTGAATTGGCACTCCAGTTTGGAATTTCAATCCTTGTGGTTGCTTGTCCATGTACTCTCGATCTGGCAACTCCAACTGCTGTGATGGTTGCCACTGGCGAAGGAGCCTCTCAAGGTGTCCTGATAAAGGGTGGAAGTGCTCTGGAGAACACACAAGGTGAAAGCTATTATACTTGATAAGACAGGAACACTAATTGTTGGAAAACCTGCACTGGTTCATATCATGTTCTTTCCCAGCTCTGCCTTACAGGAGGTATGTGATTTGGCTGCTGTTGCAGAGGCTAATAGCGAGCACCCTATATCAACGGCCGTGGTGGAATATGCCAAAAAACTCAATTCTAAATATGTGCTGGGTTCAGTGCCATTGTTTGTGTAAAAGCATTGCTAGTTGGGAACAAAAGGTTCATGCTTGCTTCCAAATTTCTAATTTTTAGAGAAGTAAAAAAGTATGTGGTAGAAACTAAAAATATAGCAAGAACAGGTGCGTTGGTTAATCTTGATGGTGAAATTTCTATTAATTCTCGAAGACACAAAATCTTCGACTCAAGAGGATTGCTTATGATTTATACACCTACCTCCCTACTAATGACGCGCCTCGAAGGAGTCGAGCTCTTCTGACCAGGAGTCTGATGTGGAACATCTTAGTTATATCACACCTTAGGAGTAGTTTATTTAGTTTGTTACATGTCTTCTAGAAAGTTGTAGAAGGTTCTATGGCTAGCTTATAAATATAGCTATTATAGTATGGAAGAGGGATGGAGAATATATGATAAATATTATATGATTTGAAGCCTAAGAGCTTGTGTTTGTTCTCGAATTGGGTGTTCTTCAAGCAAATCCATTTCTTTCGTCGATCCATTACTATATATAGTGCCTACTAAAATTTCTCGAGGACTAGCTAGTTGTTCATTTACCGTTTCATTTGCTATGCTATTCTTACGAGCACAGATTAAATTGGGTCACAATATCTTTTTCATACATCATCAAAAATCGCCTTGATCGAGCACGAATGATGAAGCATATATTAGTTGGTAGCTTTCAAAATTAAATTTGGGACCATCAAAACTCTGGTTTCAACAAACTTATAGTCAAATTGAATATCTCAAGGAGACAAACCCAACGACACCGAAATTGGTCTGATCTGAGCCCAAATGGGTCCAAACCAAGGGAACAAAACATATTTTAAATGTTCAAAGCATTAATTAGATGACCAAATAATCTCTAAATATAACATGCTTATATTCGAATTGAGCGACTCAACAAGACAAATCCAACAACCCTAATATCATTTAATTCTGATATCATTAAGGTATATAAATGCTTAAATAATGCTCCATGATCGGGGGCAATCAGTATGGACCGTCCGATGGAGCACTTCGAACCTACCCTGGATCTTCTCCATATTTACAGAGCGTGTCACTCACAAAAAAACTATAAATAGACTCATACTCTTTGTATGAAGGGGACCTTTGGATGGAGATTGGAGAGAGCTCTGAGACTTCAAGGATCTAGAGCTCCACCCAAGCACCACCGCCGGCAAACTTTCATTGACCGTCGTCAGACCACCGTCCAACTCCAGACCGCCACCGAACCACCGCCCGGCATCGACTGCCGTCGAACTTCCACCCTGCCGCCCACCGCAGTCGGACCTCCACTCGGCCGTCGACGGCCGCTGTACTTCTGCCCGAACACTGCCAAATCGTAAACCATTACCGAACTTCTGCACGACCATCGTCAGACCACCACCTTACCGTTGATTGACGTCGAAACACCACCCGGCCGCCTACCACCGCTGGATTTCCAACCCGATCGTCGTCGAACTTCTGTCTAACCACGGTCATTACAAACTCCCAAGTATCTTTATGGAGCTTGATCGATTCTTCAAACTATTGTAATTTAACCGCCTCCAAGTTAAGGAACGGGTCAACCTCTGCAGCTCACTCAAATATAGTGAAATATTTTCACATGAGTGAGGCCCCATGGTTTTTCCCTTTTTAGGTTTTCCGCGTAAAAAATTTATGGTGTTTTTCCTCTCTCTCTCTCTCTCTCTCTCTCTCTTTCTCTCTCCAACTATTTGTTTGTGCTTCGGATATTCGTGCATCGCTAGGAAAAAATTTTCTTACTCTACCGCCACAAATATACTAGCCCGCAACACTTCTCATGTTCTTATACTATATACCTCAAAAGAGTGAGATTCATCTTGTTTGAAATGAGTGAATTTCCATTGCTCACACTTGGGTCCCACGTAGGTCACACTAAGGGCTTGAATAATTGGATGAAGCTCCAAGAGAGCATTTAATGGCTGGGGTCAACACAAAAAACAAGATAGTATAGCTATGGTAGGTTCTGCCTTTACCTCAATTCATCATTGGGTCATCCGTTTGTCATTCCATAAAGCTTAAAAAGTACAAAAACAGGTGTAGCCCGATTACTCATGAGAAACATACCTAAGAATGATAGATTATATCTAATAATGGCCTAAACACCAAAGGCACTTGTTGCCGACATCTAACAATAACCATGAGATGACATAGCAATTACTTACAAGAATAGCCCTTTCAATATCCACATAATCCCCATGTATATCCATAAAAGAAACTCAATATATAGAGTTAAGACTATCTGCTTTTTTGAAACTAAGCTCTTTAAAGAAGAATAAAATATTAAAGAGACACTAAATTTCATCCTTCTTCCTCATCTACCCCACCTCTACTCTCCATTCCACATAAAGTAGGTATGATAGCAAACGCAATTCTTATAATCAATTTAGATCATTCACACGGATTCCCCCAGTAGCATAAAGAATATAAGCAGGAAAAAAGAACGATCAATGCTAACATTATGAACATCTAGAAAATATATGAGACAAGGGTGGATTAATTCTCATCAAGTGCATGCATGACCTAATGCTTAGGCATAAATCCATCAACTGTCCCTAGAAAAAAAAAATAATAATAATCAAAAGAAGATTAAAGGGCTATTTGGATACAAGTAGGATTTAACTTTAGTATAATATAGTAAATCCTGTAAATCCAAATTTAGTAAATCCTATTAATGTTAAATCTTGAAAATTATTTGACAAAAAAGGATGTTAAATCCTGTGAGACTGTTTGACAATATAACTCAGGATTTAAGAAGGTTAATTTATTAAAAAATCAAATTTATTTTGCATCTTAGATACAATTTATTTATTAATTTCAATATTAATTTTCATCAATAAATTATAATTATAAATAATATAATCAAAATTAGCTAAATTATCAAATTATATAGTTAATGATTTAATTAATAATTATAGTACTAACTATCTAATTATTTATTTAGATGTTATTTTAGTAAGCATATAATTAATAATTAAACTTCTAATTAATTAATTATTTAAAATAACTAATTATTTACTTATTACTTATACTACTAATTATTTTCCTAATTAATTATTCAAGCGTTATTTTAATACATTTTTAACAATTAATTATTAATTAAACTATCTTATACTTCTAAGTTCTGATAACGTTAGGCCTATGGTTTGCTTTTCATCTTTTCCACTTCTTAGTTCCACTTCGCCTGTTTCACGTGAGGCTTCGTTGTGGTTCAAGGACAGTATTCCTTCGCCCCTTTGACAACGTTCTTCGTCTTCTTGGAAGACGACGGAAGCTCGCTCGCTACAAAGGTGGTTATCTTTCTCCATTTCGAGCACTTCTTCGACCAATTCCCCTAAATTCGCTGAAGCCCAAGACTTATTAGTAAATATGGGATTTACGCCAAAAAATTGGATAACGCGGATTTATCTAACCGTGAGATTTGCGGGATAATCAAATCCTGTTTGGCGGGATTTATGCTAAATCCTGCCCAAATTCTGCATAAATCCCGTTGCCAAGCAGCCCCTAAAGCAATTTGCAACCATACAAACACATAATTTCTACCAAAGAAGCATTCTTCTCTACATAGCCGATATTCCAACTCCGACAGTAAGAATTACCAACAAATTTTAAATAATCAAACACAAACATAGGCTAGCTCACCCGGGACAACCGTCATCGGCCTCCACGCAGGTGCGGGTTCGGTGGGGACAGAGGATCGCCTTGCCAATTCCAGATAGGCTCGAAACGATGCCCAATAAGTATAACACGATAACGAAGCCGATAACCCAGGGCATCAGGATGCAGCCAAGCATGAAGGTGATAGACCCACAGAGCATAAGCGCGAGAGAGGCCCCTAGGAAAAGTGAAGCGATGCCCGCAGGGGAGATCTCTGAACGCTGCGGTGTGCCGCAGAGGGCGCCGACGGCTGGAAAGAAGAGGTGGGGAGAGCGCAGAAGAGCGAGAATGAGGGTACATAGCTCGTAGAAGAGCCCCGATTGCTGCTCGTCATCTCCACCCATGTTCAAAATGAAACCCTAAAATTAAGAGAGAGGGACAGAGAAGAAGAGACAGAGAGCGAGATAGAGAGAGGGAAGCAGCAGCGGATAAGGAAATTTCAGCGGATAACAGAATCGGCGGAGTTTTTTCACACGCGGCAAATGGATATAGACAGGCTCCTTTTTATTATTATATATTATTATATCCGAAACAGACAGTCAAGGACAACTTAGTCTTCATTTAATTTTTAAATTGATTACACGTATTTGTAGTTATCAGTTCAAATTTATAAGCTATTTTATTTGTCTTCAAATATTTGGCTTTAATCCACCCGATGGTGGTTTGTGAAAATAATGCATTTGATCCCATCGGTTTAGTTGGGTGGTGAGCATAGTTAGGAATCTTCCAATTCATATTTGAATCCTCTCTCATAGGGCGTGACCCCTTAAGTGGAGAGATTGTGGGTCATGCACCTGTGGGGTTATTTGCTGGTAAGCTCGTCGAGGGATTAGTTACTTCGCCATGTGCCTCCTAAGGGAGGTCGCAGCGGGTGAGATTAGACCACCACCCACCGTCGGAGTTATGCTGGACCACCACTCGATGCTGGAGTTCTGCTAGTCCAGCACCTCACGCAGGAGTTCCACCAGACCACCATCTGGCGCCAGACTTCCGTTAGGACCACCACCAGACACGGGAGTTTTGTTGGGCCACCGCATGACGCCAGACTTTTGTCAGACCATCGCTAGACGCCGGACTTCCGCCGGACCACTGTCTAACTCCGAACTTTCATCATAACCACTGCCTGACACTGGACTTCCATCAGGACCTCCACTTAACGTCCGACTTCAGTCATGACCACCAACTGATGTTTGAGTTCTGCCGGATCACTGCCCGACGCCGGAGTACTACCAGACCACCACATGGTGCAAGAGTTCAGTTGGACCACCACCTGACGTCGAACTTCCATTAGGACCATCGTTTGATTCAAAACTTTCTTCGGAGCACCACATAACACTAAACTTCCATCTGGACCATCGCCTAACACAGACTTCCACTGGACCACCGCCCGATGCTAGAGTTCTGTCAAACCACCACCTAACACAGGAGTTCCACCGGACCATTGCCTAACGCCGGACTTCCATTAGGACCACCACCCAACACCGGAGCTTTGTCGAACCACCGCATGACTCCAGACTTTTGTCGGACCACCGCATGATGCTGGACTTCCACCGGACCACCGTCTAACACTAAACTTCCGTCAGGACCTCCACTTGATGTCAGACTTCAGTCAAGACCACCACCCGATGTCGGAGTTCTATCGGACCACCGCCCGACGGTGGAGTACTACCAAACCACCACTTGACACAAGAGTTCCGTCGGACCACCACCTGACGCCGGACTTCGATTAGGACCATCGTTTGATGCCAAACTTCCACCGGAGCACCACCTGACACCTGACTTCCGTTAGGACCGCCGCCTAACACGAACTTCCACTAGACCACTGCCCGATGCCAGAATTCAGCCGGACCGCCGCCTAACACCAGAGTTCTACCACGCTGGACCATCAATTAAGCCATGAACTTTCGTCAGACCATTGACAAAAGTTAGAGTTCTGCCAGACCACTGAATAATGCCCAGACTTCTGCCAGACCACATGCTTAAGATAATGATTTTTTTACCCCTGTCTCTTGTCGATTATGATCCTTCCAACCTCCGTCACCTACTATGGTCCTTCCGACCTCCATCACCAAATAGTGGTCTTTCTGACCCCTATCTCATGTTGAATATGGTCCTTCTAACCTTCGTCACCTACTACGATCCTTCTAACCTCCATCGTCAGACAATGGTCTTTCTGACCACTGTCACCTGCCGACTACGGTTCTTCTGACCTCCCTCACTAAATAGTGGTATTTCTAACCATTGTCTCCCACCGACTACGGTCCTTTCAACCTCCCTTGCCAGACAATAATCTTTCTGACCACTATCTCCCACCGACTATGGTTCTTTCGACTTCCCTCGCCAGACAACGGTCCTTCAGACCACTGTCACCTGACTACGGTCTTTCTGGCCTTCGTCGCCCGCCGACTATGATTTTGTCGACTAAACAAACATTTCAATACTAATTCTTCTAATTTCCACCATGTAATTTAATGTATATTTGTTTCATCAACTCAAGGTCTTCTCCCCAAGGAAGGGCCTCATTTGTAATTGACTGCAAATAATAGGTTATTCATTTAAAATTGGGTCAGGCCCCGTGATTTTTTCCTCTTTTTAGGGGTTTCCACGTAAAAAATCTGGTGTCTCTTATGAACACTACACCCTATATTTTATGTGCTTGTGTGTTGGATCTTCGTACAAAACAAATATATTAAATTTTATTTTTCTCTATCGCCGTGAATATTCCAGTACACAACAAAATTAATTGATTAATTGATGAAAATGATTGATTAGTTGAATGATATAGGAGCATGATTGATATGAAACTAGACTAATAAATGAACATATGATATATGGAATGGTTCACTTTATACATTATATGAGTGATTGATATACGATCATGATAAAATAGAACATATATAAAGGAATATAATATATCAAATTACATGGTATATATGATATTATTTATATTAATTGCTAGATGTTTACATAGTATATGCTCACATTGCTTTGAAAATGAATGATTAAATGTATATTATTTCTATTTGGTGCATTAATTTTAGTTGTAGATTGTTGACCTCATTATTCGAGGTCAATTTTCCCAAAATCAACTCTAGAACCTAGGTCTTCGTAGCCTAGTCTAAACATTGCCCCCATAGGATTTCCCTTAGGTAATTGTCCACGCTCTCATCTTTCGGATTGCGCTTTAGCTTTAGGTGCGCTTTAACTTTAGGCGTGCTTTAGCTCTACGTGCGCTTTAGATTTATGTGCGCTTTTGACCTGCGCTTAATTTAAAATAATATTTTATTAATATCCAGACCTATCTAGGCGTAACCGGATGCAATAATTTCCCCCATTCACGACTCTCTCATTCACGAACCACCCAAAACCCCACTACCCCATCTCCCCTTGCAGTTCCAAAAATCTTAAAAAACAAAAAAGAATCGCCTCTCCCATTCTCTCAGCCCACACGAACCCCTCCCTCTCTCTCCCATCTCCCGTCAGTTTCGATTCTAAAAAAAAAAGCCGCCCCTCACCGCAGTTCAAAAAATCGCCCCATCGCCCCTCTCGTCCTCACGTCTCGTCTCTTTTCAGTTCGCACGAAATCCTCAAGACTCTCTGTTCGGAACTCCTCCTCCCCATTCGCAAAATCAACCCAAGAAGAAGCCCCTCCTCCAGTCATTTTGCTCTGTTCGCACGAACTCCAGCCCCAAACGAAAATTCTCCTGTGGCTCTCTTGCGTGAAGACTAGGCCTAACGCCCATCAATATAACGAACTTTTATTTGGTCCAGTGCAAGGACCTAGAGGAAGATTCAGTTTTGCCTCAAAAAGTGCAAATCCGAGTTTTTTGAAAAAATACCGAGTTTTTTGAAAAAAACTCGGTATTTGCACTTTTTGACCTATTTTTGTCTAAAACCGAACCTTCATCTACATCCAGTGAAAGGACCTAATAATTGCTCCATCGAACACCGATCCTATATTCTTGTTCGTCTGAATTCCATTCATGCCAATCTTCACTCATCCAATTGGTAAAGAAATCTTTCTTAAATTTCAATAGATAATAGTACTGTAATGAATGGAAAGATATAAAAGTTGTTTTAAAGTGGCAACTAGTACAACATCATGATTTAGTTTTGTCTTTTATGACCTTGGGTGAGAGATCAAAGTATAGAATAATCTTTTTGAAATTTTTTCAATCATGCTTGTTCCCAACTTTATCTATGATAAATATCTTATAGTAATTAATTTTTTTTTTTATATTATAAGTTTTCTATCTTTATTTTGACAATTATATATGTTATATTTAATTGGCTTGTGCCGAGATAATGGTAATTTTTTTTTATATTTTTATTATGAATTTCAACAATTACCATTTATATAAAAGTTGCTTTGCTGCCTCTTCTATCATGTCATCATATATATTTTTTATTATTATCAATTTAATGTAAAAAAAAGGTTTGATCTATGTAATTGTTTTGTGGCTAATCTGATGAGCAAGATAATAGAAAATTGAAATTATATCTTAGTATAATATATTCATTGTCTCATTGGTAGAGTGAGAGTTCTCGTAGAAGTTAATATGCATGTTTACTAGAGTATGATGCTAGGTTTGTAATTAGCAAAATTCTTGAATATAAAATGAATAATAAAATGGTGTTTGGTGGTTGCAAGAAATATTTCTTTTTTTTATATTATTTGATGATTGTAGCATTCATTCACTGTCAAAGTTATTTGTTTTGGTTGCCTTAGCTTTAAAGAGAAAGTTAGATGATTACATTGATAGTTTTCCTTTGAGTTTTTGGAAAGAAGTGTATTGCAATTGCTCTGTTCCATTCTTATTGAGTCATGGTTTATATGGGAGATATGCAAGTTGATTCATAATGCTTTTTGCGGCATGTTGGGAAAAGGGAAGTGATAGATTGTTTTGATTTAAGCGAGTTGTTATTATAAAGTGGAATATATGTGCAATTTGGAAAATGAATTGTGTGATTATTAAAAGTTAAATTGTTTTAAATAGCAAGGTATATGATTAAGTGAATAGTAAAGTAGATTGTGTATGAGTTGGAAATGAATTGAAAAGTAAAGGGTGCGATTGTTGAAGGTTGAGATGTTTTGGGGAGACGATGTGATATATATATATATATATATATATATAAAGTGAGTTTTGTGGATTAGGAAAGGTGAAAAGTGTGTGTGTTTTGGAATGACAAGGTGTTATGTGAGAAAGGTAAAGAATGGCTTCAAAGATAATGTAGAAAATTTTAGGAGATGAATATGAATAACAAAATGTTTGGGAGTGGAAAGAGAAATAAGATGTGTGTTAGAAAAGTGAGAAAGGTGAAGAGAAAGGTTGGATTGTGAGATTAAGATGTAGGTGAGTGTAGAAGAGTTTATGTTGAAGAATAAAATGTTTGGAAGAGTGAAAATTAAAAGTTAGATTGTTAAGAAGCAAAAGTGTGTGATGATAGAAAAGTGTATATAATTTAAGAGATAAGACTT